TCAAACACAAATTGGCAACTCTTTGACGTATCTTGCGAGCTCCCATTTTTTTCTGGACATGAATTTCATAAACTTTCATTTTCTTCGTTATTGATGACGAAATGTATTTGTTCATACAGGGCTTGAATAATAACATATTTGAAATAATGTGGTGGACAAAAATTACATTTTTCTGATTTGTTTTAGTTCATACAGAGCAAATGGGAGGATCGAGAGCTCGCAAGATAGGTCACATATTTGCAAATCTGTGTTTGAATGATCACAAGTTCAAAAATACATAACCTTCTTAATTTTACCCAAAATTTCCTATACTTTCAATGACCTGTTCCTCTCATTTTTCTGCTTCTATCTAAACCAACTTAATATCAGGGTGGACTTCCCCTTTAATGACAGGTGTATTCACACAATGTGGTTTAGCATGATCATGATGATAGTCAAATTATATTTTTTCTTCAAAAAGGGAAACCATTATGCAGCGTTTAATTCCTTGGAAAGTTAAATGAAAGGATATAAAATTAAAAGGGGGGTAGAACACGGTCTTGCTTGTGTTTGTTCGATTTTCTGGTTGTTTCTGTTTGTTAGTTTGTTGTTGTTTTGATTGTCTCTTTCCCCCTCTATATCTCCCCCTTTCTCTGTCTCTGCATGCCTCGCTCGTCCCGTTTTACTTTCTCTAACCACTGTCTCGCTCTTCCCGTTTTAATTTCTCTAACCACTGCCTCGCTCTTCCCGTTTTAATTTCTCTAACCCCTGCCTCTCTCTCCCTTCTAAGCTAGGCTCCTGCTATTGCCTATATCTTTCCATACCTGTCTGTTTTCCCTGACTTTTCACGTTTCTCCAGTGCAGGGTGTAGTTGTAAATATGGCTGTCGTCATTTTAACCGTCTTCTCTATCCCCTTTCTTGCTCTCTCTCTCTCTCTCTCTCTATCTCTCACGCGCTCGCGCACGCACACACACACGCACACATACGCACGCACACAGAGGCGCGTAAGCAGGTGGTTGGGGGATAACCCCAAAGACGTTTAAATATAATTACTAGACGGAAAGCAGCACGCGCGGAAACCATGCAGACGAATGGGATTAGGCTCCGCCTCTTTTGGATCATTTGAAGACAAAATAAGCTACCGAGGCGGCTTTTTGATTGGATATGAGCCTCATGAATATGTATTTTATCGATAGTATCGTTTAAGAAACCGGATAGTATATTTGACCTTATTGCGTCACTTTAATTATGCAGATTTATGCACGACGCTACTACACTCGCACAAACTGAGAAGAGTAAGTTCATTGAGAATGGGTGAGTAATTGATTGAAATATGAGTAGATTAAGTGAGTTTAGTCATCATTTTGAAAAAGCTGCAATAGTCTTCGTGATGTACGGTAATTTCGTTACATTTGGAGACAGTTCTCAACAGATTTTTGGGGAAAAGACTAGTTAAATATTGCTCTTGAAATTGCACTTTGATTTTCATCGTCATGAAGTAGTTTGACTGCGGTTTGCCGTCATTTCACCCTAGTACTCCAGTTAGGACCCCGGCGTTCCGGCAGGCCTACCCCGGGAATTTCGGTGCTCATTTTGCATCAAGATCAAACTTTCTAATCAAGTTTTATTTCAGATTTGATCGTCATCATGAATCTAATTCACCAATCATCGATTTAATTTAAATCTAGATTTAACGTTTCACCTTAAATAATCTACGAAGCATGATTTTTTTGATAATCCAGTGGATTAATTCTTGTTAAAATCTTTAGTAGATCTAGACCTAACTTAGATGTGGACTCGGATGGCTTTACTAAATATCAGTGCCATCCGTTCGCTCAGTTGCATCATAGTTCATACGCGGTGCGTGTCAACTTTATTTCTATACCAAAATTATATGTGACCATTGATAATCAACAACTCCAAATCCTATTTAATTTAGATGTAAACCTGGAACTTATTAAAAAAATATTCAAAAAACATCAACACTAGGATTTGTCTATTTAGATTTTGTGTGGGTTCAGTGCAAGTTGTCATTACTCGTCTCTAGTATAGGTCTAGATCTAACAGTTACTACTAGAGCCTAGTCCCTAGAGTCTAGTAGATCTACTAGTACTAGATCTAGATCTAGATCCCTATCAAGGGGGGGGGGGGTGGGGGGTTTTAACATTTTGAAATCGGGCAAAAATTTCGCAACGACTCAGCCAGCCGCTGATTAAGCGGGGAGGGGGGGGGGGGGGAAGAGGACATTTAAAAAAAAAAAATTGGTCTCAAAAACTTCGCAACGACTCAGCCAGCCGCTGAATAAGCGGGGGGGGGGGATCTTTTTGAGGTCATCCATTAGGATTTTTTTTGATTTTTTTAAAATCAACACTAAAAAAGGGGGGGTTTCCAGAAAAACATATAGAGGTCTAGGTCTACCTAAAAAAAAACTCAAGGGGAGGTCTAACACCCCCCTCCCCCCTGCGTACGTGCCTGACCCCTATTATTATTACTTTTAATATATTAGAGATTTCTTTCTTCTCCAAATCGTGCTGTTCATGTTGATAAATCTATTTGTTTGTGTAAGAGAAGACCCCTAGTCCACAATTATGTTTACTTATGTAGTCCACTTCTTCTTGTCTTAATAAACCAATTCTACTTAAGACTACTTTATATTTATGGCCATATAAAGCACTTTTGAGGCACAAGTTAAATCTTCCATTTAATTTTACTTTGTACTTTGGTCCATTAATTGGAATGTTGATTTTCACACCATATTAAAATTAAGGCCAACCATGACATGAAAAAAGCTTTTATGCTAGATCTATATTGATTTTGTTTTCTTTTTGTTTCAACAGATTGAAACTAATGAAGAGCTGGAAGGAGTTAACTGATGAGTAGACATTACAACATTTCTTATATTTGCAAGATGAAGCTGAAAGTCCCATTGCAGGTAAAATTTTCAGGATATTTAGCACACAAATATTAAACGACCACCTATCAATTCACTAAAAAGGAAATGGAACTAAGTTTATGTTGCAAGTGTATATAGTGGAAGGGATATTTCATTCTAGTTCTTCCCATTCTTTGTTTACAAAGAGATTTGTCCTTATTTACAGGAGGTCCTGTGTGTACAGAACGATGTCTAATGCACATTCAAAGCACTACATAATAATAATAATGATCATACATGTAGGGTATACACAGGACCCCTCATTACTTTGTTTTGTAAGTGTCCTTTCACTTCTTGAGCAATGAAGATGAAGAAGAACACAACATAAGATTAATGAAAATCTGTTTATAGGATGTATTATGGTTGATATGTATCTATTATTATCACTTTTAATTGAGTACCTACATTGTTTTCTCTTATGCAGGATGATGCTTCTCTACAGTGGATGATGAAGGCATGCTGATTACAAACCCAGGAGAGGAACAAAGAACAGATATTGACAGAAGCATATCTAGAGATGCGGGCCTACTACACTTCATACGAGCAAGTGTGCTAATATACAATGTAGGTACCCCCAATAACCTATTGTAGAACACATATCATGCAGAAAGTTATAGATCTGAAAAACATATTTTTCATTGTCCGTTACTTGTAAAAGAATACTTGACTGAATATCACAATTGTGATTTAGATTTAAAATAAAATGTTGATATCGATGAAATATAAGTCTACATTACGTATGTTTTAATATCATTATTTCCATACATTCTCTGGTCCAAGTTGTGTGGTCATTTTATGTCCCATACTTAACCGAGTATTATTCAATTTTGAGCACAAGTTCACAATACAAGTACATTGTACACGTATTACTTATTTCATACCTTGTCTGATCCAAGCTCCAGCAGGCCTATCGTCTTAATGGGATCATCAGAAATAATCTAACATGTGGTCAGTAACTAGTCTTGTAGGTAAAATAGTTTAGGTTTGCCCACTAGAATCCCAAGTGAATATTAGTCCTTCCTCTTTTTGTCAGAGCAGGTATCAGGGTGTATGTTATTAGTTGTTGTTTATTTTCTTATACACTGTATCTTATTTCATTTTTCCATTCAACAGACTTGGGTTATATCATCACACCCCTTTCTTCTGAAAACTAGCCTCACTTAATCATCATGAATGCAGAAGACATCTTCATGG